GTGGTCGATGACCCTCTTCCCGTAAAACCTAGTCATGAGAGACAACAGGTCCGCAGACTATAAGCTCACAGCTCGATTGGCGTAGAGCAAGATCGCGACGCATTGTCTCTGACGGTGGGAGGACACCTCCGGGTGTTCAATGGTTTGCTACTGCCCGCCTCAAGCCAGGCAGCCCCTGGTCAAATTGGTGCAAACCAGCCAAAACCCACCTGCGTCTGGCCGGGGTCACAGGTGTATCCTATAAGGTCGCAAAATATATGAACCAAGGCTGCGTGTGACGGAAGTCAAGAAGATCCCAATCGGTCTCTGCAATCCCATTCTTAAAATGGATCTGCTCCTCACTGCCTTGTGGGTCAGGCTATTGAGTCAAAGGCTCCGGGCGGAGTCCCTCAAGCAAACCTCCGAAACACAACGACAATCTCGCATGCTAGTGCCCACCAAAGCAATCGTATGCCTGCGCACAAAGCACTCGGTATCGGGTGCTGGAACGTGCGCACACTACTGGACAGGAACTCCAGCGAGCGCCCGGAGCGACCCATGTACTGGTCGCGATGGAACTGGCGCGCAACAACATCGATATTGCAGTATCAGTAAGACTCGGCTCGCTGAGCAAGGTAAGTTACATGAAGCAGGTGCTGGTTACATAGTTTACTAAGTGGGCAATGCCGCCTCAGCACCACGTAAACATGGGGTCGGATTTGCAATATCCGATCGCCTCCATGGCCAGCTCGTGGTTGAAACAGAAGACTTCGGCGCGACTGATGAATGCTCGCCTACGACTCGGAAGAGGTAAGTTTGCTACTTGTATAAGCACGTACAGTCTGACAATGTATTATCCTGATGACACGCGTGATCAATTCTACACTCAACTATCCTCCGTGATACGGTCTGTGCCGAGGAGCGACCGACTATTTCTGCTGGGGATTTCAACGCGCGCGTTGGGTGTGATGCATCGGTGTGGACAGAGTATATCGGCCCGCATGGCAATGACTCAGCGAATGCGAACAGAGACAAGCTGTTCTCAATGTGTGCCACTCACTGCCTGACGATTACGAACACTCGGTTTGGACTGAGTGCGAGTGATATAGCAACTTGGACGCACCCATGGAGTGCTCACGATCATCTGCTCGACTATGTCATCGTACGTCAGCGTGATATGCGTGAAGTGCGCATGACACGTGTACTGCGTGGAGCTGAGTGTGGCACTGATCACAAATTGCTGCGGACCAAACAGTACGTACATTTTCGTAAAGCTATATGTCACACTCCCGCCGTGAATCAGCGTAAATTTAACACTCCCTCGGTACTGTGGCGAAACGTACTGAGCTGGAGAAGGCGATGGCTGCACGCCTGTGTGACGTGGTCTGCATAGCCATAGTGGGCGATCTGTGGCACCACATTCACGACCAGGTGACAGCTGCTGCCGAGGAGACCATCGGGCGCGCAGAATGTAAGCGGCTTGACTGGTTTGATGACAATAATGCGAAGATTGGCGCATCTGTGTCGGAGAAGAGTGCAGCAATTACGGAACACGTGGCGGACAACAGTTACTTAAGGAGGTATAGTCATTTCCGCAAACTTCGACGGCAACTGACCCCAGAGCTCCGTCGCTTTAATAATGCATGGTGGACAGAGAAAGCGAAGCAGATGGAATGATACGCAGAACGCCGTCAACACAAGGAATTCTTTGACTCCTTGAAGGCGGTGTATGGACCGATATGGGAGCCGCTGAGGATTCTGATCGATGGTAGTTCAAGTGCTACCTGCACACAGACTGCAGACAATATGCAGATCTATCGAAAAGACTTCGACTGTCTATTGAACAACCATTCAGAGGTCGACTGGCCTACATTGAACTGCCTGAAGCAGCACGATGTGAAGACGAGTCTGGCGGACACGCGGACATTGGACGAGACGCAGAGAGCACTTGCTCAGCTGCGAAACGGCAAGTGTGCCGGAGCCGACGGGATCCCGCCCGAAGTATTGAAACACGGTGGACCCGCGTTGTTGACTGCGCTGCACCACTTGGTGCAACGCGTATGGATTAAGGTTTAGGTGCCTCCTGAGCTGAAGGGTGCATTTGCGCCACCACCGTACAAGGGCAAAGGGAGCAAGCAATGTTGCACGAATTATCGTGGCATCCATTTGCTGAGTTGTGTGGGCAAGGTGATTGCCCGAATCCTGCTCAACCGCCTCCTCAGTCAGGTTGTGAAACCTAACGTGGCGGAAGAGCAATGTGGATTCCGTTCGGGTCTCGGCACTATAGATATGGTGTTTGCGGCTCGTCAGTTGCAAGAGAAGTGCAGAGAACGACACCAGCCATTGTACTCGCTTTTTGTTGATTTCACCAAGGCATTTGATACGGTGAACCGCGAGGCATTGTGGCTGGTGTTGGGTTGACCGCGTAAGTTCGTAAGTTTATTTAAATGTCTGCACAGTGGTATGTGGGCGACGCTGCAGCTGAATGCAAAGACCGCGGATGGCTTTGCAGTTGTCTCTGGTATGAAGCAAGGCTGTGTCTTAGTTCCTGCCCTGTTTAACATGTACCTTCGTGCAATGTTCTCCTGTGCTTTTGATTCCGCTTGTGCTTAAGATGGTCGTGTGGAGCACCTTATTGATGGTGGGTTGCTGAACATCCGTCGTTTCGGTGCGAGAACTCTAGTCTGTGAGACAACTATCCGTACGTTGCTGTTTGCTGACGACTGCGCGTTGTGTTCACACAGCGCAGATGAGTTCCAGCACATGACTAGTGCTCTGGCTTCGACAGCCGCCAAATCCGGGCTCACCATCTGCACAAGCAAAACTGTCTGTCTCTTCAGCCTTCACCAGAGGTGTAATCTCCAATATTGCTGCGAATCAGCATTGGTGCTGAAGTATTGGAAACCACCTCCCGCTTCTGCTACCTTGGGAGTGTGATGTCGAAGGATCAGCAACCACACAGCGAGCTGCGTATCCGCGTGGCGAAGGCAGCGGCGGCATGCGGGAAGCTTGAGTACCGAGTGTGGAACAACCATCAGCTTACCATTGGCACGAAGCTAATGTTGTACAAATCCATGGTGCTGTCCGTTCTTCTATACGGCAGTGAAACGTGGACGATGTACCGGCGGGATGTGCGATATCTCGAGCGGTTCCGTCAGGTGTGTTTACGACGAATTTTGCGCATCGGTTGAGGCGCCAGATTTGCAGAAACGGAAGTGTTGCGCCGAAGTGGGATGCATGCAGTGAACTTGCTACTTTTATTGAGACACCTGAGTTGGATCGGTCATGTAAGCCGTATGCATTCGACGCGGATACCGAAGGTGCTATTATATTGTCAGCTGAGTATTGGGAAACGGCACGTGGGGAAACTAAATTTACGTTACCAGGACATGATCAAAGTGAGCCTCTCACGTTCTAATCTTGATTGCAGGTCAGGGGATTCGAAGACGTTTGATCGGCGTGCATGGCGCGATCTGATCACGAAAGCAGTTGCCGAAGTGCGGAAAAAAGACCCCAATACATGCGGAGAAGAAGCGGCAATTGTGGAAGCGGCAAGCACCGATGGGTTGTACTCCATCGACATCGAGTGTATGGTGCTGTAGAACATGCGGTCGCGAGTGCCTTAGTCAGGCAGGCCTAGTGAGCCATGAGCGAGGCCACTCGGGACCACTACCGAAGCGACGACGGGTCTTGCAGAGAACGTAGGCAGAACCAGCGCAGTGTTTGTAGGTACGCTGCATTCGATTTACTAACCGCATGCTTGCATGCTAAGTCTCTTTATTTCAGGTGGTGGGCTTCCAATTTTGCTTTAATACTTCTCTTTCTCATGTAAATGTCCGCCTGTACTTTATTCCATTAACTTGCTCACCTTGCTTAAGCCAATTGTATTCGAGTTCCGTAACATTTTTTGTGTTCGTGGCATTTCCGTAAAGTATACTTTCTGACCTCGTGAACTTATCTAGGATTCGTTTGTAAACAACTTATTTCATATGCTCATTAACTTAAGGTTTATGTCACCGTATCTTTATGCATTAATCGAGTTATTTTTTGTATCGCTCTCAAGTGATTGGCTGTTGTTTGATAACCCCGGTGTGGCTGCGCTTGATGTGCATGTTGACAAGGTGCCTACCTATCTATTATCCACTACCTCGTCCATACTGGCTCTAGGAGACAATTTGTCGTTGCTGGAGGGGACAGGGTGCACGGTTCTTGTGGCCGTGTAAGGATCAAAGAGTGGTTCCATGCACTCAGTGTGGAAAGGACTACTGTCCAGCCACCGCCTTTTGTGCGCTTGATTCCCCAAATACAGCGTGCTTGTGTTTGTCTATGAAGGAGTGTGGGCCGGCTCGCTTAATGAAACGTGGCTCCCATCCACATGCCTCCTGGTCTTATTCCTTCGGATTTACACTAGAGATGGAGTGTGTGGTTGGAGCTGTGGGTGGTGCAGTGCAAGCGACCCACGGTTCCTCTGTAGGCACAGGCGTCCTGTGGCTGGGCACAGTGACCGGCAAATCCGATCCGGATGCCGCCCACCATATATATATATATATATATATATATATATATATATATATATATATATATATATATATATATATATATATAATATTAATGTTCAGGTTCGGGCTTAAATGCACAAAAGTTGTCTTCGATTTCCACTGTCCGGATGTCATATAAAATGTTTTTAGAGTGTAAGGGTAATAGGTTCCCAAGGAGCTGCAGCGCTTGGGTGGAGTGAGTGATACCCGAGTATTAACAGGATCACGAGCCGCAAAGCCAAATATTAATCATAGCTTGAGTCAGTTGCGCGTAAATCTAACGCACATACGTACATCATAAATTTTGTGAATCTGTATGGAAGCATCCACTAGGTCGGGTAGTGTGCAGTGACTGGTAAGTTCTTTATCCTAAGGACTCATAGTGTTACCATATGCACGCAGCTCAAGCCAATTTGCATGTTCTATGAAAAAAGTTACAACCTTTTTATTACAGTTCCTCGCTAAACCTTACATTCATTGCAGAGTTGGGAAGGGGATTTCTTCATCCCTGAATTGGAACACCCAAATTACCGATCTCTGGATTGGGGACTGGAGGACCTGAAAATCCCGAGGAACACTGGCCAGAGAGTGCGCGTTCACAATACGTCCGTTACCAAGTCGGAATTGTGCAAGCTGGAAGAACCGTCGTTATCATCAGAACACATAAGACAACTTGGTCTGCATTATCGGATAAAAGATGCCGTATCAATGTGCTACATTCGGAATCCAATACTTAAACAATTTCCTGTACTGGAGACACTTCAGGAGAAGCTTCAGTCGCTTACGGGCAAACCACGCGTAACTCTCAACGACTACCGTTACATGGAAAGCCTGAAAGCTAGGTTATTGGAAGATGAACGAGCTAAAAAGGTGAGGAAGGACGGAGACAGAATCGAGACTCCCGCAATCGCAGTCAGTCGCCCATTCACTCTAAGATCACGGTCACAGATGGGGATTTATCGGGTATTGTCGCCTTACCTTCCTAAACCATACAACATGGATTACTCATACACAGGACGAAAAGGAAGTCACTGGAGTCATGTGAGCAAAACTGACCCCGGGAAGACCTTTGATGTGAACCGAGATTTGGCTTACCGAGATCTTTCTAGAGAACAGTACGAGCTGGCCATGAAAGAGTTATTTTTCGGCCCAAGAGGAAATTCTGCGGAACCTGTCGTAGTAACCTTCAAACGCGTCTTGCCAAATCAAGAAAATGAAATAATCACCATGTATGACTTGGCCGCCAGAGCCTTAGCGATGCCAAATACATATGCGAAACAAAAACGAAAGATACGTGTCAAATAGCTGAATATCTAACGATGTTGGCAAGAAATGTGTTCATCTCCTTTACCGTCATCACCTCGTTTGATGGTACAGAATTAGTTGGATTTATGTTACATTATTTTACATTCGAAAAGTTTTATGGAAATGAATTCATTCAAATTCTTTCCGAATAAAGGAATGCTCAATAATGAGTGCAGTCATTGCCGAAGTCACCAGACTTTCGGTTACATCAATCCCAAGGTAAGTTGCTCAGATGGCTCCACCCGAACGACCGCGAAAAACCGCCGAATGGGGATGCATTTTAGAGCTGATCAACCCCACCCCGTGCCACACTCCACGACTGACTTCCTCTCTGGTCAAGTGTTTCAGGGCGAGACAGTGAACAATGATTTAGCAAGGGATAAAAGAAAGTGCTTGACACGTCGTGATGAATACATTAAAACCAAAAGGTACATGAGTCATCCACCGAGCGTATACCGTGACAAATGTGTAAAACAAAAATCGAATGCAAGCATACAGAAATATACAGATGCAGTGATCGTTGGCGTGAAGCGTCGACTCCCTGGGGTCCAAGTAACACATACATCCTGTAGTAGGGCATGATTGATGTAACCGTAGTTTAGGTAAGGAAGTGTTGGTAGCTAAAAGCAATATCCAATCCTGTGTTGAAAATGTCAAGTAGGGTAGGATACAACTGAGTCTGGGAGTGCGTTCTAGGATTCGCAAACCCGAAGGGAAGAATAATTTCGTCGACATTCCAGACGGCTATACTGTACCCTCAATTTCAAACAGTTGCCACTGAGTTTCGTGCTGTGGTAGGTTTCAGCAAATGGTGGCATGCGTGTTTGCGGCTACTCAATATTTGGTACTCTAATATGAGGTCGTCGCGCAGCCTTCGATACCTTCCGCGGAAAACTCCCAGTAACTTCATCTTTTGGTGATGAGAGTGATAGCGCAAGCCCTTTACATTCTGTGTTGCTCTTCGTTATGGTGCCTCTAACGCCTCTAGGTCGCGCTTCAACCAAAGTTGCCAAGCATAGATAGCGTACTCAATATGCGGGCGCACATAGGAATTGTGCATCACTGGTCAAATCTCTCGTATGCCTTTCGCAGCATGCCGACATGCTGGTTGCCCTTTTTCGTAGTTACCTCAGACTGTTTCGAACAGTTGAAGCCACTCTGTATGAGCACACCAAGGTCACGTTTTTGGGAGCTCGTCTGCAATCCGTGTGCCCCAAGAAAATACGTGTAGCCATGTCTATGGAACAATTGAACAATGCGACATTTGTCTACATTGAATGGTAGCGCATTCTGAGCTGACCAACTCAAAATCGTGTTAAGATCGCACTGGTGCCCTTCGCGGTCGTCCGGTCCTCAGATCGCACGCTATATATTAATATCATCTGAGAAAAATAGGAATTCGGAAGCAATTGATCTCGCTAGATCGTTTATGAAAACCACGAATAGACGAGGCCCTAGCACCAAACTTTGCGGGACACCGCACACCACATCAGTTGTATCGGACAGGAAGTCCAGGACTCTCACCTGCAACCGACGTTCGTGTAGAAAAGTGTTTATACAACTCAGGATTGGGACGCCAATGACGTAGTTCTGAATCTTGTGGGGAATTCGATGGACAAATTTATGATGGACAATTTATGATGTTCCACGTATGCAGTCCAGATTTCGGCATTCGGGTAGTCCGTGTGCGCTCGCCACGCTAAATCACTAAGGGACAAACATTAAAGTTTTCTGACCCATGAAAAATGAGGTTTTTGATTTTAGGATGGATGGATTTCTGTTCCGATGCGTGTACTACCAGTGCGCCAAACGTCTTTGTGAACGTTTCCCAGACGACTTCAGTTGAGAAGGTATGAGATGAATCCTTAATAAGCGTGCACTTCACGTTGTAGTGCATGACAGTAGATACTTCGGCGTCCTTCTTTTCAGGATATTTCGCATAGCATACGTAACCAAAAGGTAAAGTAACATGGTCACTACGACCCAGTGGTGTGCTTGTAACTATCTTGTTGACCATGAGTTCTTCGTTGTTGAGCACGAAATCAAGTATCGACGGTCTGTTAACAGTTCGAAATCTGGTGGGAGAGGACACGTGGTTGTACGGAGGGTAGTTGAAAATTAGCTCTTGCAAATTGTGCAACATCGGTTGCTGGAATTTCCATGTTATGCACATTTAGGTCTCCAGTGATAAGGATGTGGCTGTAGAATTTACTCAAACCAACCTGAAAAAGGTGGATCAATTTGGAGTCCGCTTCCGAGGTAAAAATTGGTGGGCGGTAAATTGCGCATAGTAAACATGTGTCATTGTTCCGCAACCATAGCCGGCGCCAAAACAAATCAAGGGCGCGGATTTGCGGGTGATCGATAAGTTCACATCGGAGATTTACATTGGAATAAAGAATCACACCACCACCCATTCTAGTTCTAACGTTTCGAAGCAGCGATATACCGGGTGAATTGATCTCAGAATCGGTTATCTCAAGACTTATCCCCAGGTCTCTGTAATCATAACGAGTTCTCGCGGTCGAAGCATGAATTTCTCTAAGTTCTGCCAACTTGGCAAGTAGGCCTTGGGCGTTAGTGTACAAACAGGATAGCGCTTTTGTTGTTAGAAGTGCGTTGATGGATGCCGAATTTGTGTTCGCTTTTAAGTCGACCGTTAAGTGGAAGGCTTTTTAATTGTTTTTTTTGTGATTTATCGTCGATTTATGAATTTTAGTCAAGCCACATGGCCCCGCAGAGTATTATAAATCAGGATGTTCACTCATGCTTCGCTTTGTCCTGTTGTGTCGATCTCTACGCAGGACTGTGGAGATAAGCAATTTACGGCGGTTGCAATTTCCATCGAATTGCTGACCACTCGTGGCGTTGCACCTGCTGCCCTTAGCTGGATCTCGGTTGGCAAACTTGTAAGAAACTTCGACAAGTTATCCAATAGAAATAGCATTATTCCCTCAGATGGTTACTGGGAGCATAGGCCGGCACAGTTCTTACCACTAGACCATGAAGCGCCGAAACCAACGCCTACAAAAAGTGGTAGCACATGTGGAATTCGCCATCTTGTAGACGTGTCTGTACCACTTGGTAAGTACCGCACACAAGAGAAGCGACGAAGTTCCACAGTGACAATGATATGGCGCTTCACTTTTCTCCACCTCCAGTCGTGTCGAAGTTCGGAGAAGCCGTGTGACCCCCCATGTGTTGATGTAGGAAACCCGTATACTAACGGTAGGGGGCTGACGCCTGTGTTCCGCTGGGATCGCTGAACACAACGCCGTTGGTACTTCGGTCGCATACAAGACACAACAATACACACAAAACAAAACACAAGACACGCAAAGCACGAGTTCCTGATGGCGACAGAATACATGAGCACACATTTGAGCACCTTCCTCTATGGCAAACGTATGGTTCTTAAAGTATGAAAAATTAACAGTAGGTAAAGAATAATAGTAGTAATCCTTTTCAAATCGCCTAGTTATATGGTGGCCATGTTGTAGTGATTACGTTCACACGCATTCGGCCCAGGTTAGCGGAGGAAACGTAAACGAGATGTTAGGGAGCAACGTGGGATCTCGGAGTTCAAAGACGTTCCGATGTATTTGTGTCGCCACTGAATTGCGGAATCATGTCGAATTCCAGAGGAAAAAGTTAATGCAGCGCCAAACAGCTGGATAGATCCGTAGATGATTTATGCAGAAAGATGATATGGCGAGCAGTGATTTCGGTGATCACGTTGAGTTGATGAAAGGTGCCTTTTAGTGGGAGCTGAGCACTCCCGGCAGATACAGCAAAAGCATCGCGTGTCCTCACACACAACTAGCGGAACAACGAAAAACAGGCTACCGTTTCTAGTCATCATAGTGAATACACGTTAGTTGAGGATGAGAAACACTCTTCAGCCAATTTGTCGCAATACAAAAAGATAAGACACTAAAAATTACACTACACAAAATTCAAAAAGCAAGTAATATAATGTTAAATATCATATTGTTAATTTGCAATGAGATCATGGTTAGAGGGGGAATCTAAAGGAGGGGAGATGGATAAAGAAACTCACAGCACAAACGGCATTGGGGCCGGCTCATAGCCATGTTAGCAAGTGTGTCCAATCAAACTTGGTCACCGTTCTTCGGACCCCAACTAGCAGTCCGGATGCACCAACGGACTTCAACCTCGGGTTTTCATTAATCTTGACTAAGTCACTGCTTGGCTTCCCCTCGTCCTCTTCCATCCAGATCCGCGGCGCGCAACACGTGGCCCAGTCATCGGAGCCTGGTGCGTGATATAATGGTGCTGAGCGGTTCACTCACACTTGCTGCACCAAATACGCGACGCTGAACACGCTCATTGCTCACGCGGTGCTCCCACCAGATATGAGCTAAGCTGCGAAGGCAGCAATGATCGAACGTAGCTAGCCTCTTCACGTTTGTTGACCTGACGGTCCAGGTTTCACAACCGTACAGGAGAGTTGAACGGACGGCTGTATTGTACACTCTGCCCTTCAAGGCGAGTGACGTCGCGTCGGCGCCACAGATGGCAGATATTGGCAAAAGCCCCTCGAGCTTTGCTATACGGTTCGTGGCCTCGGGAGTTAAGATAGCCACCCAGATACTTGAATTCCAGAACGAGGGTCAGCGCAGATGTAGGTCTTTGCCAATCTTGGAGGACTTTGCATTTCCAAGGAGCAAAGCATTGCACAAAACAATGACAGCCAATGCTAACCTGTCCAGTGCTGCTTGGCACGTTTGGGCGTTGTCCCATATGATGGCAATGTCGTCAGTATACTCTAAGTCAAGAAACCACTCACTAGGAAGCAGCTCCGCCCCTTGTAAGTCGTGTCCAGTGAACGCTGTTTTCACGTTTCTGATGGAGTTGCGCAACAAATGACGTAAGGTTGTCGATTCCAGAGGAAAAACCTAAACTTCTAAGCCGATCACTCGGATGCGAGACACTCATCACATGAACATCAAGCCCTATGATGACGACCCGATCGTGTACGACACTATCGCCCATGCATCTACAGAAATTTCAGGACCGGGCCAAAATATTCCACACAGTGAGGTACACGTCAACGGATTCATTTGGCTCTCTGTTTCGGAAAAAGAAAAAGCAGCGTTGGTTTGGCCTTCGAAAAATGTATTGAACTTTCAATGACCGCTTCC